TTGTGTTCATGACCCAGAAATTTTTATTTTTGCTTTCTTTTTAGGTAGACTAGAAGGCCTTGAGAAACATCAGTCTTCTCTCGGGCAACAATTACTATCGTGTTTGTTTACAATGACTCTTCCTTATTGTGAGGACAATTTCTTTAGAACAACTGAACACTGAGTCATAGTTGGAAAAACCAAAAAGTTAGTGTGAGTAAACACTTGTTATCTTACTTTCTGTGATAGTAGAAATTATTTATAAATACGTTATGAAGTAAGACAAATTACATAAAGGGACTCTTGAGTGGTTTTCAAGCATAAGATGATGACTATCCAACAGGAAAGGAACATTCCAGTATGTTGGGTTCAGTAGTCAGTGGCTGAAGAAGTGACATAAATACATAAGTCAGTCTCCTACAAGGTGAATAGCATAACTGTCAAAGGCTATTTTTCTATTTAAAAACCTTAATACTACTTGATGTTCTGTGCTGTAATACTACATAATATTTCATTTGGATATTTAAATTCACAGTTTAACATACGTAACTGGACCATAAATGCTTTGGACTGGATGAGACATTGTTAGTAAAATCAGCTCATGTTTTTTGAGCCCAGTGTCTTTGGAAACCTAAAGAAGCAGAAACAATATACGTAATAGAGTCTGATAACACTCCAGAACATAACCAAACAACAGGCAGTGAAAAGCTTAGTATCTGATTTCTGCATCTATTTAGTGTAAAAGGAGATGAGATAGCTGAAGCTGACTTGGTGGCCTAGTAGCTATACATTAATGTTTAGATACCTTCAGTAAAGTTAGGCTGCTGAAGTTCCTAAGGATGAACACAATACGTTTTTTAAATTAAAAATGGGCAACGTCATATACATCCTTCTGAAGCCCCCTCTTTTTCTTGCCAAAGATACTTGTATCTCCTACTGTGACTAAGTTCTTGATTATAATTACAGCCAGATAGTCAGCAATGGAGAGGTTGTGTGAGGGGGAAGTCTGTAGTAAGATGGGGGCAATTAGTGAGGTTTTAGATCACATTTTCCATATAAGCAAACACTTTATTTTTATTAACCTATATAAGCTTTCATGCCAGGAATATCTTAGGACAATAAATGTCACAGATTAATTCTGTAATATGTGAGAAGGCACTTCTGAAGGTACATCTCTCAAAACATGAGAGGCTTTGCTGGCCTAGAGTGGAAGTAATCCATGAGTTCTTTCTGTTCTGTTTTAATGTAACTAGATTTCCAAGTGGTCTTAGGAAACTTTCTGCTGATTAACAAGTGAATTTCACAATCCCAAACTAATAAAAGGCTTGTTCCAGAGGTATATATTAATATATATAACTCTATGTTAATATATGTAACTCAGGTAATTTCAATAGCATTTATTTATTTAATTCATTGGCAGTCTTAATAGATGTGATATTGTTGGGGTTGACATGTGAGGCCAATGAAGCTGAACAGACTGCGGTAATTTTAAAGCACTGACATTTTTTATTACAGCACTTCGGCATTAATTCATTGGCAAAGATGCTTTATAAATTGAAATTCTATACAAATTACATGCAAAATGTAGCCCTTTTGTATGTCACTATGCTGCCCATGGCTGTAATTACAGCAATGTGCACACATCACATTAGTAACATGGAGGAAATCTGCAGTACTACAGGATTCTCTTCTATTTTCCATAATTGCTGCGATTAGTAAAAGGGCAAAAACCACATTTGCTTTATCCATTGAAACAAGTTATACAGTATTTAAGGAATGAGAGTGTTATAGCTGTGTTTCTCAGTAATCTGTGAAGTTCAGCATGGGGCTTGCTTAAATGATGCCTGCATCCTCTCCCATTCTGCTCTACAAATAAAATGAAGCCATTTGTCAGGTTGGTAGAGCTCATAGGAGTGTCCTTGTCATCTCAGAGTGAGTTCTTTAAAGAGTTTTCATATTCCTACATAATTTATTCACTGATCCTTTGAAAACCAGCTAATTACAGAGTGCAGTTATTCATGGCATTTGTGAATGGGCAACTTGCTTTTGTTCTAGCAGCAGGTGCATAGGTAGGAGAAACGATATAAGCTGCAGTAAGTCTTACTAGTTCACTTAAAATTAGAATCAAATAAATAAAAATTCTGTAACTAAAGAGGCCTTGCTGCATGTGCTTATCATCTTCTGTGTCTGGCTATGCCATTTGGAAATTGCCTTCACTCCTATTCACTGAGAATGGAAGTTGGGATATTAATGTATGAGCTTTCTAAGTCATGAAAGATTGCATTTGTGTTTGGAGAAAATTCGATATGTGGTTTTCTGAGATCATGAATCCAAACATGAAATGAAATAAGAATTTTGAGAAGTTCCCATTTTTATCACTTTTCTTTTCATCTTATTTCTTCTGTTACTTATTTTCCTGGGATGTGTACCTATGCCTGTCAGCAATCAGCTACTGTCTTGAAAGTATCCCTTCATAGTAACGGTTGAAATGAGTTAAAAATTATTTGATGTCTCTGGAAATTCTTGAGCTTGGATCCTTGGTTGATCATGCCAAGGTCCTTAACTAAGTATAGGTTGGAATTAAAAAAAAAAAAAGTCTCATTTGCTTATTTAACCAGGAAGTTCATCATCCCTCTGGTTGTCATGTTAGAATGGTAAGCTACTGCTGTTTGAATTATCCCAGTTCTCCAGTTCCTCTGAGGACTTTTTCTTCCATACATATTATCATTCTACAGTAAGCAGAGTCACTGGCTTATGAGCATTGTGCGTGGACTTCCCCCACTTCATTAAAAATCACCAGAAGACATGCAATTGAATTTGAGCCAAAATGGCAGAGGCTTGTAACACATCAGAGAACAAGAATACTGACAGGTGCTTTGGGAGGTTTTAAGACATTAAACTGTGCCAGTGATTTCTTTTTGTCTGTGTATCTTAGCAAACTTCTAATAGGCATCTAACTCCACGGCTCTGTTACTATCACTATCCCATTTTAACAGTTGGCACAGCATCAGGATGGGTAGGTCGTAGGGGAATAATGCTACTACGGAGGGGTTTGAAAAAAGGACTTAGCAATTGATGCCAGCAATTACTTCACAAGTAGTAATGCAAGTGCTGTATGGACAGAAGAATACTTTGATGACAGTGGCATGACTGAAAGCACAGGTAGTTCTCCAGTGTCAGGGGTAAAAGCAGAGATTGAGGCTTGAGTCACCATCAGTGATTTTGCCACCACTGAGAAACTCATTTACAAGCCAGAGGAGGTTTGCAACACTTAGTCTTAAAAAGGGAAGCGAACTCTCCTTTGAAATCAGCCATAGTACCTTGTGCCAATTATTATCTGTTGCTTTTCAACACACTGAATGTTTCCTTTTTTTACCATCACTTTGTAACATAAACGTTAATGTAAGATATAGCCAGTATTATTATGTAAATCTTCTTTCGGCAGCTTCCAATAGTTATAAATCATCAAATGTGTTTTTAAATGCTAGCTTCTTTCAATAATTTTAAACAATTCACCCTCTATTTGTACACTTTAATTGGATAGAATAAATTCTTAGTTTCAATTTGTAATTATATAGAAAACACCAAGTTCTATACAGATAAACCTATTCTCTGTGTGTTTGGAGATTGAGCAATCCCTGGAATTAAATGCTGGAAGCTATTCCCTCATTATCTGAGGAATTATTTTTATTAGTGGAACAAATCTGGATATAGTTAGCTTTGTTTCACTGAGCAAATTATATAAAGATGCATATTATCATGTGATTCTGCTTTTCAGTCATTCATATAAAAATAAATCTTTGAGATGAAAACTTCTGTAATTCTTGTTTGCGTAAAGTTGCATATCTGGCAAATTTAGTTTGATAAATACCTGTTGTAATTTATGAAGTAAAATAATAGATAATTTGATACAAATCTGAGGGGGGTTTTTTGTGCTTGAGTAACTAATAGTAGGACTGACTTTTAAAATGCTCAAGGCTGAGCATTTTGAGAATTTGTACATACTTCCATGTACTCGTACTTTATATTTTTGAGAACATTTTTTTATGTTTTGCATTTCCCTCAGGCTGGTGTTGTCAGTTTGATATTTTTTACAGTCAGTATCAGTTGCCGGTTCTCAGCCTTACTAAAACAAGGCTGTTCCATTTGAGCTTACCAACTTGTAGGAAACATTACTGGCATTTTAGAACCCAGGATTTTTTGTCAATCTAGGTTTAACGAGAATTATGACATTTCTGTTACTACAGGCTTACTGCTTCATGGGATTTTTTGAGCCGAGATGCGAATTCTTTATTACTGCACTGATGGTTTGGAAGGTGGGAGAATGATCTGACTGGTGTACCTGCTGCTGTGGAAATCTATCAGTCACGATAGTTTTCATTAACTTCCAGTGCAAGAGAATTGTAATGTCATGGTGATGTAAATGCTGATTTTGTAACAGCATCCCTTTGGAAAATCTGAGTGGGTGGAAGAAATTTTTCTTCACCACAGTCTCAGCTATCCCAGCTTTTGTAATTGGTACAAACGTGGCAGAGGATAAGTGGGGATGAAAGAGCCTGTTCTCTATGAACAGTGTTTCCTAAAGGAAAATACCATTTTTCTATGGAGGTGCTTGAAAAGATTTCTATTTCTATTGTGTTCTCATATTTGCAAAAAGAAGTAATGTTTTGATGCAAAAAAGACATTCAGGTTTTTTGTGAAATTGGTCAGACAGTGTAGTAATGTAGAGAACAGTTAGAGTGCTTGCATGTATTATCCTTTGTAATGAAATACATTCTTCAATAGATTTTATACATCTTGCACTGCTAAAATAGAGACTTTTTACATAAAATGATAACTACTAAAATATGTGAAATACATTCAATAATGGGATGCTTAGAACTTGCCAAGAAGAACATGTACTAATTCCTATCCACCTCCATTGTTACCTTAAAAGCAGCTCTCTCCATAGCAACTGAAAACTTTTCAAGGCAGCAGTAAACTAATCCTCTCCAGCTTCTAGAGCACCATCAAGGAATTTTAAAAACATTGGACTTCCAGCAGCTAAATCCTTCTGAGGATTCAGAAGCCCACGAAGCTAGGTACAAAAGCATTCTTTTTCCCTTCAGAAGGTAAGAAAAAAATGTTTAGATATAAATGCATCCTTATAAGAATGATACGTATTCCTAACTGCTAACAGTAAAATCTATCTAAACACCAAAAGATTTCCTAACACCTAAAAACATACTAACCTTTATCTCAGTGAATGCCAATTTGAATTCAGCAGTTCTTTTTTTCGTTTTAAATACTTCATTAGTAGAGTTTCCTTTAAAATGAGACACACACATATCATATTGCAGTTTAAAGAAGCTGAACTTATGTGTGGCTACTTAACATGTGCATTACTGTCTGAAAATCGATGTCACTGCCAGAATCTGCCCATCAATAAAATGAAAACCTCTTTGTGGAAAACAGAAGTGAAACTCTCATGTTTCTTGTGCTTTGATATTGAGATAGATTATTGTTAAAGCAGAGGTGATGGTATATTAGGAAGGATAGTGACAGGACAGATTTACAGTACAAAATGTCTTTTGCATTTTGAGTTAATGAGTTACACTTGTTGCTTCTGGTGTGTTTGTCTTGTTTATTCGATGAGTTAAATGAGTGGAATTATGACCTCAGTTTTGTAACTCTTTCATCTGATCATAAAATACCACTAATTTTTAAGGAATTCCTGCTCACTCTGTTTGTGTTGTATAGCTGGAGTTGGGTAATGTTGGTAAAGTGTTTTGAAAATAAAATCTGCTCTATATCATTGCTATGTAACATAATTACTGTACAATCATATCAGAATTAGACTAGTAATCTTTATTTACTGCTGGTTTTGCTACTAAAACCCTGTTTCATAATGGAATGAAAGTGAAAACTACGGTATTTTCCTATTCTTACTGAAGAGGATTATTAGTGAACACAATAACATAGCAGTGAAACGAAAACCATACACTTTACTTTTATGAGAAGGGAAGGGCACTTTGAGTCAACCTCTTGGTAATTCTACAGGAGTTTTAGGGCCATGGTTGTCTTAGTTTCCTGCTGTTCTGGGCTGTAAAGCCCTTACAGACTCCCTGTTGTTCAAAAACAGCTTGTCACTGCAAATCAGCTTAGCCGACCAATTAATAAATCCTTGCAAACATATTGCATTCACACTAATTAAAGGGTTGGGGCTTTTTTCCCCTTTACCATTCAGATTCCACAGGTTTCAAGTTTAAGCTGTGAAGTGCAAACAACGATCCAACATTCAGTGCAGATCACGCGCTGCGAGAAGAGGAGATGTGTTTTCTGACCAAGCATCCAGCTCTTGGGGTGGTATGTTCTGCTTTCATATTCAGCGTGCTCATTGCTGAAGGACAGCCTGGGGAAGAGCATGGGCAGGATGGCAGCTATGCTCCCAGCCGAGGCTATCTGATGGAAGTTTTACGCGTTCTTTCAGCTGACAACACTGAGCTCCACATGAACCACTCACGAGAACTGGTCAAAATGTTACTGGAGAGAGCTGAGTGCCCACAGCGGATTTATGGCATGCAAGAGGATTGTAATCTGGTTAGTGCTTCAATTCATGAGGGATATCTTTACAGGATCGTCAGTGAGTTCTAAAATTATTTATTAGAGTGATAGTCTCCTGCATACAAAATCTAAACATGTAAAGGGCTTGTTATTGTAGCAAAAAATTGTCCCTGCTTTAATAGTATCATTTTGAATTACTAGTATTTATTGTTAGTGCTCATGAAGAGATATTCCAAACATGAGAGGCATTCCTTAAGGACACCATGCTTCAGTTGCATAACAGTAATAATTTTCCTTTAAAAGTTGTCAAGTGTTTATTTTCCAACAAAGTTTTTTCTGCTTTACCCTGACTTAACTGTAAAAGCATGAGCTTGAATTTGAGACACAGAGGATTTCTGCTGCGGAAAGACAGGTAAAAATTTGGGACAAGTTCTGCCACTTTTATTTTTGTTCTGGATTTTAGTTCATAACAATAAAACCCACACAGGATTGTCTTAGATGTATGTGCCACTTCACTGAAATATTCAAGATTTAGGGGAGAGTTTTAGTAAGCAGTTCAGGTCAAGGAAAACTAAAGGCAGAACAATGAACCTACAAATCCAGACTGAAACTGGAAATAGTCCAGGGTACAGCTGGAAGTCTTCCTGTGAAGGTGGTTTCATTGTCTAGTTGAGTTGAGAATATTTTCAGAACTGATTCGGCAAAGAAAGGAACAAGTGTAGTAAGATCGTAGGTTCTGGTAGAACAGAGACAGTGGTAAGTGATCAACTTAGCTGAAAGGGACTACGAAGGGCTTGGGCAGTCTTGGCTTTGCTTAAGGTTAGTCTGGCTCTGGCATTGTTTTGTGACCTACATACAGCAGAGTGTCGCTTTATATCAGAATTATGAGGATGGTCGTAAAGGTGGATGCTTTCACAATATACTGTTCTTGGCAATCTGCCAAACCGATGGGGTGGAGATCATCATCTGTTCTGCAGTAGGCACCTGTTCACTTAATTGGTCCTTCCTGCAGTTGTTCCCATTTTTCTTAAGAGCCTCACTATATAATTCCATACATAAATAACATAGATGCCTGTTATTCCCTAAATGGGTAATTCTTATGAAGGAGACTGAAGTTTCTCTCTTTGCACATATGGGCAAATGGATGTGTACCAGATATGGACCTAGATCAAAAACTGAGTATGTGTTGAATAGTAACGAGTATCAGGTCCTGCTAAGCTTCACAAAACAGGAGTTCAAAAAAGCTTTTGTGTTCTCCCTTTTTGTTTTGCTTCTCTGGATTGCCATATTTTTTCTTATTTTTTCTTGTATTTGTGATGTATTGGTGGAGAGTCCACTGTGACCTTGAATGGAAGAAATCTAAGTGAAATTTAGTTGGGACTTACTATGGTCAGCACTTCCACTCTGTTTAGGCTTCATCTTGGAAATTTCCTGTGGGAAGAATTTGAGGACTTCCACTGTTTCCAGGACTTCTCAGTGTTGGCTGTGCCAGTGACACTACCAGTGCCATGTGAACACAGTTGTCTACAGAAAATCCGTGAGAGACAGACAGCATCTTCAGCCACATGCAGCCCACCTAGCTCTGTGCTGAAATCTTGGAAGATGATTTAACAGGATTTGGTAATCCAAGATAGCAAAAACTGTGCAAGAAGTGCTATGCTTCAAGATTGTCAAAATTTGAAACAGAATGCCTCACCTTAGCTTGGCATTTTCTTTCCCACACTTGTTGGGAATAACTAATTGCTTTCAGACTCAACTTTCCCTTCTAAATCCAGGATTCCAGTCGTAAGATCACAGAACAGCCCAGGTTGGAAGAGACCTGGAAAGATCATCTGGTCCAACCTTTCACATGACTTTGTTTTCAGATTTTTGGTGGTTTTGTTTGGTGGGTTTTTTTTTTTTCTTTTGATGAAGTCTCCAAAGGGTGTTTAAAAGCAGTGAAGTTTAATGCTTTTTTAGACCCCTTTTTGGTTTGTTGTTAAGTATTGGCCCCAAGACTTGTTGGGCAGGGGCTGGCAGCTACTGAATGGCTTCTGACACTGCTTTATCTCCTAAAGACACAAAAGTCATATTTCTTGCAGTGATAAGATAATTTTTTCTAACTTCTGGCCTCTTAAACAAAAGAAACTCAGGGTTCAGTGCCCAGGTTCATAGTTGACCTCTTTTTTTTACTATTATTTTTATAGCAAAAAAGCATTTCTAAACCAAGGCCATGCAGATGGTTATGCCTGTAAAATATTAGTAACAGCAAAATAACCAGTGTTGAACCAGTTCGTATCTTCTTGATATCTCTTCAAGGGTCACTGTCTGTGGGCTACCCATATACTATGGAGTAGCTGCATCTTTTACAATGCACTTGCTCCCTTCCAATTAGTAATTTCCTTTCCAGTCGTCTTCCTTGCATGAGCAAGCAGCTGCCTCATTGATTACAATTTATCCTCACTGGGTTTTGAAATGTTACAGAAATCTTTGAAAATCTTCCACTACATGTACTACATTTATTATATTAGTATTGAGTGTTTGAAAAGGCTTGTTGACAAACTTGAGGTGTTTTTGTTCAGGAAACAGAATAGCTGTATTCCTCGTAGCCCAAATACTAATGCTTAGAGACATGAATTAGAAAAAGTTAGAATTATAGGTCTTAATAGACAACGTAGGCAGGGCACAGTGGATGACACTGTAATCTAGTTTGTTTATGAGTATAAATACCTAATTTGGCAATTACCATCCACAGTTCTCTTTGGTTTAGATTGATTATTTGTGAGAATTTTTGTTAAATTATTTCTATTAAAAAGTAGCAGCTCTCAGTTCCTTCAAGGAACATTGGCTTCTGAACACAACAATGTGTGTTTGATTCTACTCAGCTTCTGTGTAGGAAAATGAAGTAACATACAAGGTGAGCCAGAGCAACCAACACATTGTGCTTATAGCCACAGACCATTTAGTCTGACAAACTAGGTTCTGTCTGAATTCATGAATTTATTAGTGTGCAGTTTTGATCCTCCTATGTTAAATTCGTGTGTTGTAGTTTCTACTCTGAAATGTACAGTCTGGCTGCTCTACCATAATAGTTGAGATTAGCTGACATGCCTGTAACATGCTTGGAAAGGACCCAGATGGAAAAAGACAGCTACATGTCGAATGACAAAATTACAGGATCTCTTAAAGAAAGATTCTTTATTCTGGAATCAGTATCTTATTTCTCATAACCTGACATAGAGCTCTGTTAGTCTTCTGGTCTAACTTTAAAGACTAACTTTTGTTTGAGCTGGTAAAGTTTCTGAAAAGTGTCTTTGTATCAAGAAAAATTGAGGGATTTATATATATATGTGTATGTATGTGTGTGTGTGTATATATACATATATATGTATGTATGTATGTATTAAGAAATCTGTGCTCAGGTAGAAAGCCTGCACAGGGTGAGTATATCATTTCAGTCCCTCTTGAAATGCATTTGGAGGCCTGAATGGTGTCGAGATCTTGTGCTGGCTCTCTGCACTGGACTGAATTGTTCCAGTTAACAGAATTCATTGAGAAAAAAGTAAGAACATGTGTATGATTGCAGGGTCAATTAAGTCTCTTAACAGTGCATTGAATATGATATAACTTCTGTTTACATACCCTGAATTAACTACAGTCTTTATCTTATAAAATAACACACGTAGAATGCACAGGTGAAAATATGAATAGCCCTAGCCCTTATCTAATGTATTTATAACCAGAAATATGATCTGTTGAAGCCAGTGGAAGACTTTCAGTTCTCTACAGTGATTGATGAGAGTTAGTCCTGTTCTGTCATAAATCTTAAATCCCTTGGATACTTGACATTTCTTAAAAACAGAAGGGGCTCTGGTAAAAAACACAGTGTGATCTTGCAGCCATAGAACTGCAATGAATTACCTGCACCCTCCTCCCACTGTTCCATCAGCCTGCATATGTGTAGGCTTAGGTTCAATCCCTTAGATATGAATTGAATTCTCCTGATCTCCTCTCTAATTGTATTTGCAGATGACTGGCAATGTGTTACTTGAGCTGAATTTCTGTTTATTTTTATTTTTTTACAGTGCCTTGAACCAGATGCTTTGTTACTAATAGCTGGTGGAGATTTAGAAGACCATCTCAGTGAGGAAGTATTTGAGCGAATTTCTGTTGTTCTCCTCTACTACATTCTTCATCATAACGATGTCTGTTCTTCAGAACTTGGCTTGAATAATAAGGATTATAAATTTTACCTACAGAGTATGCTCAGTTTAAGACAGGATGAAGACTGTTACTATTTTTCACAGAATGAAACTGAAGATATTTTGGCTGCTGTAAGGCAACATTTTAAAACTTCTGAAACCCAGGTAAAGAAAACATTAGTAAAAATAATTTCATATTTATTACTGATATAATTCCTTTAATCTAGTTCAGACATTGTGTCAGTAACATGGTCCTCCAGAAAATTGGTAGATAACAGTGTGAGAGCACAGGCTGAGCATTGGTCTTTTGTTGAACATGCTGTTTAATACTAGCCTTCTCCTTGACTTGCTTTTGGAATGTGCTAACCAGCACTTCCACTGGGTCCACTGAGACATGGTTGAGAAGACAGTGCCTATTAGCGACCATTCCCAACAGGTAATTTGGATGCAATTTTGCCCTGCTTAGGTCGGATGGAAAAGAGCATAGCTGTGTAGATGTAAGATCTTGCACTTGGCTTCAAGGATAAAAAATACTTTCTTATCTCTTGTATTTATTAGTATAGATCTACCAGCAGTGATTGTATTTAAATGGTATAAAGCAGAACAGATCCAAAACTGACCTGGCTGTATAGAAGAACTAATGAATCATTTTGCTGTAATGAAATCCTTGCCAGGCCCTGCACTTCCATATCCATCCAAAGCAGGATGGAATAAGGAATCTGTCCAAAGATAGGATGGTTTCCTTCAGCTGGGACACATATATTTGTGACTGATTATCTACCAGCACAAATATGCCTTGTAGAAAGACTGATACAGACAAGCTTAAATTTAAAGTTTAAAAAAAATGTATATTGCATATATTCAGCTAAAACAATCCTTTTAAGTCAGGAAACATGCAGAGAGTTTTACTGTTTATAATTCCTTATCTCAAGGAGAGTCTATAAAATAATAGAATAATAATCTAGAGTTCAAAACCTAAAGTAAAACTGTTTTCCTTGTAATTGGCAATAAAATAAGTTTTTGTCAGATTAGATAACTCCTGAAGTACAGGTTGACCTGCTGTGAGAAGCTCCTTACTTCTGTTCATAATATACAGTTAAATTTGCCCTTTTCTTTTTCATTTCATCAAATTTTAATTTACACCATACTGTAGTAGAGTTCTGTATGCAGACAAAAGACAGCTAGGAGTCCTGGCTGTGCAGCAGAATGCTGGGGGTCTCCAGTGCCTCTTTCTGTGTTCTCTGTGTAATCGTTTCCCATCATAAATTATTCATTGACCGGTACTTTTGGTTCTGAGTCTTGGTGAACGTGCCAATTTCCAAGAACTCCAGTGGTATCTGGGCAACTGTAAAGAGGCATTGGTGGGCATTTGGCATGTCAAGATAGAATAACAATCCATAAAGTGCTTTACTGTGTGGTCTGTTTGTTTATGCTGGCCGTATAAACAGTTGTCAAGCCTGTTCAGTAACTGGGACTTCACTGCTTGCTGACATGAGGGAAAAGAGGATTTTTTTTTTTTTAATGAGAGCTACTCAAAACATTATAGAGTTTCTAATTCTTAGAATCACAGCATTTGAGTCATGGGCCAATGATGCAGGGTAGTAACAGAAGAAAAGCATTTTTTGTGGCTCTTTGCGTTTTAGTTTCGCAGAAAATATCCTCGCTCAGTCATAGCACTTAATATTTTATTTGAAATGAGATAGGAAATTTTGGATGGTGGAAATTTGAATGTGTAATGGATAGACAGGAAAAGAAATGCCACCCTCCTCCCTGCAGTGTTTAAGACATATAGAGAGAGAGATGAGTATGTGTAAAATACATTATTACTGTACTGGCTCATCTGTTTGACTTTTCCATTTAGTTAATGTGAACAGTGAAAATAAACAAGAAAGGCAGAAACAGGAAAAAAAAAAAACCAACCAGGAATAAGTTTCCTGGTAACTGAGAGCGGTCTACCCAGCTCTCTCACTTCAGACCCACACACGTGGGTGTACATGACTGTCTGCTGCTCCTGTTTGGTCACCCAGCAGGGAAGTCACCCTTTATCTGCAGAATGATATCTTTCCATGTTGTCCCCAGATAACTGCACCACAATAAATTATTGATTCCATTTAATAGAAAGGGAAATAATGACATTAAGAAGATTCTTTCTGAAGTTTGAGAAAAAGAGTTAAAGTCTGTATTATTTGATTCACTTTCTTGTGCCGTAACAAACTTCCCCTTTCTGCCACTTTCTGGAAGTAGATGTAGGTGCAATTGAGGACGACACAAGAATGATAGAAACAGCATGAAAATAACACTAAGGAAAAATAACCTGACTGAAGGACTGTAATTCTTCCCTGTCAAACACTGAGTAAAATTTCAAGCTTTTTTATTCTAGGCCTGTTCTCCTGAAAATGTCCTCTATTTCGCATTTGTTGTCCTACTGTCAATTACAGCTTTAATCTTAGTATTTTTCCTACTCTGGCTGTCTGTGAAAGTGTTCTCTGCAGTTTCTTCTCCTGTCACTCTGATTATCTAAATGGAGGTGACCAGGGCTGTCTTCATGCTCTTTTCTCCTGATTTCAGTGTGTTGATGTGAGTACACTGGAGAAAAATGCTGATATAATGGACAGAGATGGTGCGGATGAAAACACTCTTCCACGCCTGGCTGCTTTAATCATTACTCTGGCTCTCCAAGGAGTCTGTATGGGGAAAGCAAGTTTGCCCTCCCCAGAATTCTTTATAAAATATATTTTCAGTTCTCTAAACAGCAGCACTGAGCTCCAAGTGACAGGTAAGCTGTTTATTCATCTCTAGTTGCCTTTTGTAACACACATTTGATGTAAACTATCTTTAAATGCCTAAAGGACTTTTTGTACTTCATTTTAGATTTAAATGACATTTCATTTTAGAGCTGTTTAGTCTCTTTAAATTTAAAACCAAGGTTGGAAAATAAGCTTCTTATTTTGATAATTCTCTGAGAGGTATAAAACAAATTGTTACTGAGATTATTAAATGTGAGTCATCACATTAACTTATTACTTAATTGCTCAGCACAGTCTGCACCACCCAAGATGGCTCTGAGAGAGGCAATCTAACTGTGAGGGCAGAGCTTGGTGGGGCCTTGTTTACATTGCTTCGTTATGCAGATCATTGAATCACAGAAGTAAATAATAAAGAACAAAATCCTCAGCCCTAAACTTGGACTCCTAGATTGTACTTGCATAAACTGGTTTTGTAGCAAAACCCTTCCTTTAAAATTGCCAAGCCAGATCTAAAATAGTTGACTACAGGAATGAATGGAGCCATCTGGGCACAGTGCTACTAAATAGCTATATATGGTGAAATCCAGGCTCCGGTGAAGACAATAGCAACCATTGGTGGAGTTGGAGTGTCATTTGTAGAAATAAAAAAATAGTCTTAACCAGTTTGTTACAGTGTAAGTATATTTTAGGCCTAAGCTAATTAAATTGTCCCATTAAAATTGTTTAAATTCATAGTAGTAACTGCAGGAAAGAGCAAGGAACTGTCGACATGGAAGAACAGAAAATCAGATTTGGCTACATTTAGAAAACAAATCTAGTTTCAGCTCCATTCAGATCTGGTTTTGCTCAAGACAAAGAAAGTAGACAAAGATCTCATCGCAAGCCTTTTTGTAAGATTTGCCATTAAGATTATACCATTTGCTTTTTCTGAATAACAACATTGAAAAATAAAGGATTATCACATGGAAACGCTCTTAAACTTATTGATCTGAATTCTCGTCTTGAAAATTTGTGAACTACTTTTGTTTCGAACGGACAAACTCAGGTTTACAGAAACTACCATTATGGCTTCGTCTTGAAAACGCAGGGGTGAAGGAGGGTGATAAGTAGGATAGGATAGAGCATCCCCCCTGGTATAACCAAGCATGTCATCAGCAGGCACACCCATTGCACTCAAGCAATGTCATGGGATATATCCCTGCATTGTCTCAGGTTTGGATTAGGAATCCTGGCTCCCTCCTTCCTACTCCAGTGCTGTAAACAGGCAGGCTTCCAGGTTAACCAGAGAGAAAATCTGCTGCCCTGTGTTCCCCTTCTGAAGTGTGAAGGTCAGCAGAGCATTCTGACGATTGCTTTCAGGACACCCTATGAAGGATCTGTCTTCCTGGTCTTTCTGGACTATCCACATACCTGGCCGTGGCATCTTAGCATGATGTTCCACTTACACGGGAACATTTGAAGAAAGGTGAAGCTATTTAGCAGTAATTTGTTGATAACTTTGGCAGAGATTGATGTTTAAATGGAAGATGAATTGCCTTTCAGTCACGTCTGTTTTCCTCTGACATAGTCATAGGCAAAACATCGGAGTGCGGTAAAGAAGGAGAAGCTGAGTTTACAGGTGTCTTGAACTTCTAGTGGTGTTAAGCAGAAATTACCTGTAGTGCCAAACTGAGGAGAGAAAAGTATTAAAATGAGGATTTGAATTAATGTTAAAATTAACAAAATTTTAACAATTACTTTTGGTTGTATCTTTTTAAATGTGTGTTTTCCCATGGTAACATATCTGTTTTCTAATGAATTACTAGAACTAGAACAACTACTAAATGTGCTTACAGCCAAAAAGACCTGCACTGTAAATGGACAATTCCACAGTCACAAAAGAAGACGTTATAGTGTGGCAATCAGAGACACTGGAACCAGGAATATTTCAGTCACAGGAAACCATACAAGAGGAGGCTATCTGAAAGGTTATTTTGAAGATCATGAAAAGAACAGAGACTGGGACCAGGTTAATTTATTTTTATTATTTTTGTTGGTCACAGAATTTCAGTGACAAAAGTTCAAATTGGTTTGCAAACCCTACATTATTTCTGTGGTAAAATTTGTTAGTTTCAAAAAGTCATGTACATACTGATAAAATTTGTTATATTTATTTAAATATTAATTGGGGGAAGAACTTTATGGATGTTGAATGTGTGATTAAAGAAGTGGGCGAGGCCAACAGAATGTTAGTGTTACGCGGAATCATATGTTTCGTCAAGATACAGAGGGCTATAGTATCAATGTCAATGTCGTGTCAATGTTTTCACACATTTATTAGAGATTTCTTGTGCTCTTATGTCGCAGAGCTTCTAGGGCACCTTCAGTGACCTCACAGAAAGAAGAGTTGTTCTGTACTAAGGGAAAAAAGTAAATTAAGGTTTCCGAGCAAATTGTTTTAAAAGGCTTCTGTAAACTCGAGATTGATCATTTCTAAAAGCTTTTAATAGCCACTTATAGAGTCCAAAAGCCTCCTTTAGAAAGTACAGAGTCTGTAAGACAGAACTCTAGCTACTACCCAGTATCCTTTTTGAGGTCTTTGAAGGACAGTGACTCATTGCAGGTGATTTTATCCTTACCTTAATTATTTGAAAATAAATAGATTTTGTTTATAACAATGATTAAGATGGTAACTGACTTCCATCCTTTAGACTACATTCCTTAGACAAAAAAGGAGACTTCAAAGTATATACTGTGTCTATATTTTGATGTATATATTTAAAATATACACTTCAAAGAGCGTGTTTCTATTTTTTTCAGTTATTTGCAATTGATGTTAACTCAAAGACAATGTTTCTTCTCCATTTAGGAGAATAAGCCATGTGCACTTGGCTTGTGCTGTGTAGTCATTTTATGATGTGGAACTGAGACAAGTGACATCTGGTTAAATGCCATTCTGATAGATGTTCATGTGTGTAATTTTATTGCATCTGGAATACATAATCTATCGATATGTTTATTTCTTTCCAGCTGACTACAGAAGAGAATCATGCTGATCAGCATGATGAGGCATTTAATGGGGTCTCAAAATAGTTCTAAATTAAGGTCATTTTAAATGTGTTTCATATTAATTTTAAAATACAAAGGACAGAAATCAGTGGTGATACTATCTATACAAGAATTAAAATTGTTCTCCAGCAATAGAAGAATTAATAAAAAAAAGGTTTTGATTTCTTGAACTTCTGAGACTAACTGAGAAGATGAGTGTGCAAGGGAGTTATCTAAGGCTTGGGAGTCAAACTGAGAGCCAAATATTCTGTATAAATGAAAAAAAAAATCACAAAGAAACATCTGGAGAGAAGATAATTTCTCTTCTGTATTAACTCCTACTTTCTCATTTTTATTCCATTCCTCTTCTTTATAGATATGTCTATTTTCTTTGATGTATCATCCCATTAGAAGGCTTTGTGTTTAAAAGTGTTGTGTTGCTGATTTTGTCTCCTGCTTTCTGCAGATATCCATGATAGCCATTGTGCTCCATTAGTAACAGATGCTGCTACATATGAGCCATTGACTCATTTATGGCTTGTGTTTGCTAACTACATCAAGATCTGTAATTTAACTTTATATAGGAATTATATTTTGAAACATTATCACAGAAAAAGGTCACTGCTTTCTTTTTAAGTCATCATTGTCTCTACTGGTTTAAAAAAATTCATATAAAACAATTAAGTAGCAGATGATCTAATAAGCACAATAATACTAAGTTCCATTAAACTATTTCACAATATCTATGTATTCATTTATTATTCCTCCTTAAAGAAACATGGATTTTGGAAACCAAAATCATCCATCTATCCAGTTTTTCATAGGAGAAAATGCAAATTTAATTTACTTGTTTCTTCAGTATTATCCTCCAGGATGATAGTTGCTTTACTAATGGAGACTTAGTACTCTGCTTCCCTATGTTAAAAAGCTTAAAAGACTGGGGCTTGCAACTGGCAAAGATGCAGGTCCTGGTGCCTCAAGTCTTACAAGAACATTTTACTAAATAAGCGTTAAGAATTTTTTTTTTTTATGTGTGGATGGACAGTTTATTTGCCAGATGAGATCTTGCCTTTTCATTTAAAATTCCTGATAATAAAATCACATTAAAATTTAGGTTCATAGTAATCCCGGACCTCATCTTGTCTACCCTGCTTCTCAAAACAGGAACAATATCAAAGTCAGATCAAGTTTTACGGGGCTGTGTCTAGTTGAATTCTTAATGTCTCCAAAGATGGAGATTCCACAGTCTTTCTGGGAAACCTGTACCAGTGCTTTATTGCCCTCATTTTGATTTTTTTTTTTTGTTGTTGTTATAGCAAATCAGAATTCTCCCTGCTGCAACTAATACTTACTGCCTCTTGTCCTTCTGCTGTACACCTCTGAGACTCTGACTTTATTTTCCCTATAATGCCCCTTAGATATTTGAAGACTTAAGATACCACCCAGCCCTTCTCTTCTCTGAACTGAACAAACTCAGATCCCTCAGCCTGTCCCTGCACATCATGTGCTGCGCTTCCCTCGCCATATTGGTGGCCCTCCATTGGACTTCCCCCAATCTGCCAATGTCTTTTTGGTTGTCAAGCTGGACATAGTCCAGATGTGGACTCATATGTCCTGAGTGAAGAGCAATAATCTTTTCCCATTACCTGTTAGCTGCACTCTTGCTAACGCAGCCCAGTATGCAGTTAGCCTTCATTGCCACGAGGGCACACTGGTGACTCATGTTCAGGTTGTCTGTCAGGACCCTGGGGGCTTTTTCTGTAAAGCCACCTTCCAGTCTGTTTTTCCACCCTTTATTGATGCATGTCATTATTCTCTTTGAAGCAAAATAAATTTGTCTTTGATCTTCATGAAGTTCTTGTCAGCCCGTTCCTTTGGCTTGTCAAGATCCCTCTAAATAGCAGCCATGCCCGTCAGCATATTGACTGCTTGTCCCAGCTGGATTTCATCTGTGCATGCAATATGGTGCACTCTGTTCCATCACTCAGGTCATTGGTGAAGGCATTAAATAATATCAGTCCCTGAACTGACCAGTGAGGAGTGCTGCTCATAGCCAGCCACGAGCTAGACTTCTAACTTGATACCACTTGTTGGTGTTCCCTACTTCTAAAGTCAAAACCACTGCCTAAAACAGGGAAACTGAAGGTCCTTTCCAATGTGGTAGCTCCTGAATTGTCTTCATCCTCTCCTCCTGCTCAGAGGCAGTACAGAGTAGATCCAGGTGGCAAGATGACCTGTTATCCTGAAGACTTGAATGTGGTGTTCACAATAGATGTATCAGTGCTCAATTCATTCTGTTTCATAGTGAACTACAAGGCATATCTTACTTTACTAATGGATGAACAAAGGCAGGGAGGTCTTGGGTTTTAGCTGGGTTGTTTTAAAGTAATGATAATTACAATTTTTTATTTAAATAGTAATTTTCTTTTAAAAGAAACATAAGGTTCAGTGATTAGAAAAAGGATACTTAGGAATCCTTTGATTCTCAGATGCAGACTAATTTAAAAGGAAGAAATATTTATTTTTAATTGAATCACAGCTAATCAGGTGAGATTAAGAAACTAAGATTATTTCTTTAAATCAGGCAGCATATTTGATCTGGATGACTTATTTTTAAAAGTTCTCACAGAAATTGCCACTAGAACTGTTCTAGTGCTAACTGCTCCCATTTTTACTAAAAGTTTTATCCTGGAGATGAAAAACCAATTCTTCATGAAAATTTTTCAAAATATAAGTGTTCCCAAGAAAAGTTCCTTTTTTTGACAGACATGTTTCTAACAAGAACAAAAAATAGTTTGAATTCTTAAGTACCTCTAATAATACAATTATTAAGTAATCTTTAGACCAAATTTAGACTATGTAACATCTAGTTTGCTGACCTTAACGTGACATGCCATTGATAAAAGAATTCAAAAAAACAACTTAGTTCTGTGTCTTACTAAAGATGCAGCACAAGGACAAATTTCAGTACTGCCTCAATACAGGCAGTATCTTACATTAGTAGTAGTATTATTGCTATTAATGCAGTCTTACATTAATAGCTAAGAATATGATTTGTGCTAGCATTAAAATATTTTTGTTAGCACATATGATAATAAAAAGTTGAGGGATATTATTGTGTCAGATCCTCATGATATTAACAGGCTTCAATAGGAATTCTGCTACTTCATCCCAAAGATTATGGTCTTTCTGAAATATATAGTACTATCAAATTTTAATTTGAAAAACAAAAAATAATTAAAGTAATTAAAATAATTTAAGTGGAAAAGACTATATGGAAAACCAGTTTTTTCTAGGCTGTAGAACCCTATGTTCTTCTAAGGTTCCATATTTAACCTCAGCTTTAAATGCAGGTATATGCAACATATTCAGTAACTATATATACTTTTCTACATAGGTTTGTTTCTCTGCCAATGAACTTGTGAAGATATTTTTTAAAAACAGTTCTTCCTCCATTTCTAAGGACCACTTCAAGCAAATCAGTCCAGCTATCATTCAGCAACTATTAAGTTGTTCATGTCAGCTTGCTGACCACAAGCAGATAAAGCTTCCACCAACACCTTTGGAAAGTGAGTTATGTTGCTATTAGTAAAGTATTGTGAAAAGTCAGATAAAGGGGTGCAGGGGCTTAATTTCTGGAGACATTTCATTCATTAATAAACTTAAATCAAAACATGATGAGATTTACTCAGTCTGTAATTTGAGCACTCTATAATTTCATAGCATACATGTCAGTTAACAGTACCTTATTGAGAAGAGGGGATTCAAAGATCTCAATTTTATATTACAAAATTCTATTTCAATGTGTAAGGTTTTAAGCTTTATTTTCTTAATTTCTTAGAGGACCACCATGTAAGCAGTAATGAATTACTACGTGAATTTTCCACCAGGTTTATACTGGAATCATTACATTGCTCTTACACATAGCCTCAAGGCTGTGTTAGCTGGCATTTTATACCATGATGTGGAAAATTCTTGATATAGATAAATTCTGTGTGAATGTTGCTGGTTTTTCACGTTGTGGAAAGCAGAGAAGCTTTGGGGATACTATTGTGAGAAGAAAAACAGCCAGAAAACTAGTCACATGGGCAGCAGGACTTGTGTGATAGAGCTGGAACAAGAACTGAGTTAGAGTATAATCAGATTGTTTCCAGTTGCAGTCATAGCCCTCACATGCCACTGCTTCCAGGGATTTCTGCCCCATCTGTTCTGCTGATTCAACTTCTCTTACAACCAATGCCTAGTCTACCCTGTCAAAACAAAAAATCTGAATCCAGTCTGACCTAAGGGCTTCTTAATGTGTTTCCTGGGTTTTTTTTTACTTTAAACCAGCGATATCTGGGAAGTGGTTACAAACCTTGGTGTGCTGGTCTATTACAGGGGACATTAATTTCTGGCTGGGGATTTAGGAACCAGGAATGAGTAAAAAGGAATAGGAATCTAACCATAATCACCTGCATCTAGAGCAGTACTTTTGGGCTAAAAATCAACGCCTTCAATACCTTTATCCTAATATCTTCATGCTAAGCTCTAGATAGCTATATCTTTTAGGAGCTGGTAAGCTTTCCCCACATCCTGCTGGTCAATGTTCCTTATGGAATCACACTTTCCATCTCTAAATTCTATTCCTGCTTCAAGCTACACACATTAAGCAGCCTGTGGGCATTAGCTGAGCTATCATTCCGTGGTGTACAGATTAATTGAACTATGAGCGTCAATTAAAAAAACATGTTAGAGAAGGACATGGAAGGACACGAGTGGATATCCCAAGAATTACTATAGGAGAAAGAAACATATAGAATAGGAAGAATCATTTTAGCTCCCCAGAAGGCAGCAGTCATTCTTTCTTATGTTATCTCTCTTCTCATTACCAGAACACCTTGCAGTCTTTACTGCTTTTATCTTTTCTATGCTACATGGATATGCCCATTTTTCAGGTGGGGAATCAAGGGACAAAGAAAGATAGGAACTTACCCAGGTCATGTACAAGGTTCATGGCAAATTCACAGCTGAGTGAGATTCTCCCAAGTCTAAGGCCATTAGCCTAATCAATGACATTGTAGTGATCTCGTAAAGGTGAGATATCTGTGTAAATGAGGAAAGCTGAACTATTCAAACACAGAATGGAATTAGTAAGAGCCCTTTCTGCAGACCTTTTGCTGTGTTTTCTGGCATAGGAAGGTTTCCATGACCACAGGTACACTTCTGCTGGCTTGAGACAGACAAAGGATTTCATGTCTGACCTATGTGTGCCCTACTGACCTGAGCATAGGCTCATTTATTTCATTCTCAGTTCTATTTTACTGACAGCCTGTGCTGTTTTGGCAAAGTCAGCAGGGCCTGACCTTCCATAAATATCTACTATACCCTTGTATTGGGATGTTCAGTCTGTGAAATTTACTATCTGATTTCTATGAGGTGCTGAGCACTCGCAATGCTATTAGTGTGAAACGTTAAGTGACACTTTTGGATATTTTGGCGTTGGTTCATTTATGTCTGTTTCTCATCAGTGTTTTACCTCCATCATAAGACTTTCATATGGATTAATCAGGATTTATGTTATGCAAAATATTGGAAATGTGAGCAGTGGTTAACTCTGGAGAATTAAAAGAGTAACCTTACAAAAATCCCCATAACCTAGGAAAAATAGGTTGGTGGTCCTGATGTAGTTACTAAAGGAGTGTATAGCACATTTGTAAACATAATTTGGACCAAAAAGTTTGTACTTAGATCCTAAATTAGTTGCCTACATTCATCTGAGGTTTTAGGCCTTTGTGTTTTTTACTGAATATGATTTCGTTAAGAATGTGGTGTTGACTGTAAAGATACACAGGCATGGCCTGTGAGCACATAGAATAATAAGCATAAATCTGTTAAGAGAGGAACCAAACTCAAACCAGCATTCACTGTACCGCTCTGTCTCTGATCTGCACAGTCGCAGTCTATTTAGCTCTTTAAGGCCTGAAATTTGGAAGCATTAAACTGTATTACCTGTAAATCCTGAAAAAAATGGATGTTTTTTAGGCTTCCACTTCTGTCATCTGTATCATACATGACTAGAAAAATCTATGTGGTACAATGAATCACTACTCTCTGTGCTTGTACACAGACATGGCAAAACACAGCCTCAAAAACAAATACTCAAATACATATACTGAATGAT